ACCCGTTGCTTACGCAAGAAATCCTTTGTATAGTCAGGATCATGTCATAACGAAGTAACTCTCGAAAGTAAACGTAACAGGTTTTGCGAAAAGTACTTTCCTTATAGCAAAAACCAAGCTATACGATCCGGCACTGGGCGGCCAATCTAAACTTTGCCTCCTCGCGACAGGATCTGAAAGATCTCACTCTTTAGCCCATCGGTTCACGAGCATCCGCTCTCATTCCTCCCGTTTACATCCGAGAATGAGACCGCCCCGCAAACGACTCCGCATGGGCTCTACATCGAGCTTCTTAGGATCTGTCTACCTCGAGTAATAAAAAAAAACAACTTCCATACAAAGGAAAGTTTATACGAAACTTTCATCGTATAAATCAAACCTACAATGGAAAAACGTTTTCAATAACCACGGGAATACTTGGCATATCAAGCTCGACAAACGCTTCTTAGGATCTGTAAATTAATTTTGTCAATACTAAAATTTTATATTTTAATTACATACACTCACCCTGCGAAAGACGCAAGTCTTATCCTAGTTAATTTTTATTAGGGAAATTTTTCCATATTTCCATAAAAAAAATTCAAATTCACTATCTAACTAAAAACACATTTTCTCTCCTCATTTGTTCTTCTTATCTCTCTCTAATGTCTCACTAAAAATCTAAGCCCTTTTTGTTAAGTTATTTGGCAAATAAGCCCTTTTTGTTTGCTTATTTTTGTCAGCCGCCCATCGAAATTAGATCAAGTGGTGGACAGACGAGTCGATTCTCCGAGGAACACCTCCATCTGACCTGATCTGATCTATATGGGGAAATATATAGCCTCTAGTCCTTGCTTCTTTTGCTAGCGCGTACGCTCGATCATTCCTACTCCGAGTAATATGAGATATGCTCACATCCTCAAAATCTTCCTATAATCTATGGAACACTTCGATCTCTATCGCGAACGTCGGCCAATCCACTAGGTTTGTAGTCATGTCCACTAGGTCCGTACAGTCCATCTCAAACTGTATGGAAGTTATGCTCATGTCTCTCATACATGCGGCTGCCCAAAGTAAACCTTCCATCTCAACATGCAGAACTGAGATGCTACTTCTGCACGCCCGTAATCCAAAGAACCCATTTGATTTTTGAGACTTCATCCTAAGCCATTGACACTACCATTATCGAACCATGACGCATCAATTTGGTAGGTAGGCATTCGGTATATCCAAGGGGACACTGTCTCGACCTCTGTAGAATGAGGGTCGTTATGTTCTTTATCTACTTCCTCCTTTTCATTAGCCTTCCTCCAACATTTTACCTCAAGAGACGCATGTTGTAGAGTGTCAATCAAGGATACGACTTTCCCATTAAATAGATTATCGTTCCTCGCCTTCCATATGTACGAACAGATCCATGGGAAGGTGTCTAATTGTGGTCTCAGTTGAGCCACTTTTTTCTCTCCCAAAATAGAAAGTTCATGTTTTCGTATATAAATGTACTCGGCTTGGGAAGTCACCCGGAATAGACGGATAGTCCGAGAAATCCCAAACATGCAGGGCCATGGGGAATTCAAAAAAAAAGATGATTAATCAACTCCACTAAGGCATCACATCTAGGACAACTCCTATCGGTACCCATGTGTCTATAAGTGAACCTATGTGCAGTCACCACACAGCACAAGATAGCTTTGCATAAGAAATACTTCATCTTACTTGCAAATAAGCCCTTTTTATTATCTTATGTTTGTACTTGAAAATTGATCTATTGTCAACATATATAATAATATAGTCATATATAATATCTACAAAATTTCAAAATTGGGAAATTCTCTCAAATAGATATTTTATGTTTTTATCGCAAAAATAGACCCCACGAACCAAAATGACCAAAATAGCTTTTTTATTTTGAAAATATTAATTTTTTTTAAAAAATTTGAAATCTTATCTCCAAAACCCCACTATTCAACTCTAAACAAGATTAATTAATCCAAAGGGTATAAGTATATATATATTTATTTATTATAAAACATTTAAATCTATTTTTATCATTTTTATTTTTAACATCTATATTTGGGACAAAAACCTTTTTTAGGTTCTCTTCAAAATTTCCACCATGTTAACAAAATCTCAACATAGTGAAAGTTATACCACAAAGTTACGATACATTGTATCTTATCCTCTCGTCTAAACCTCAACGCGATTTGAGTAGCCCTTGACGTCCGGTGGCACATGGCAGCGCTTACCGTCGCCAGGGGCTACCTCCTCTTTTCCTTTTGCTTTATGTTTGCTTTCCCGTTGGCTCAGTGCCATCCCATCTTGTCTATGTCTCTGGGTTGGAGTCTCATTCTCGATTTCAGATCTCACGAGGTCTTTTCTGGTCGGAGAGGTGTCAGCTAGTTCTGGAGTTGTGACGCAGTGTTCTGGAGCAGTCTCTGCTGGTGAGAGTTGGAGCCTTTGGGTGTTTAGAACGTTCGTGTCTCTTTTTTCTGGAGTTCTCTCGTGGTGTTTTTGAGAATATGTATTGACAGTGTGGGTTCCTTCCGGTTAGGTGACGCGGTGTTGCTGCTGAGTCAGCGACGTTCGTCGTCAGTGTCTGGAACAGCGGTCTCCATTGTCGCTGTGGTGGACCGATTTAAGTCATCTGATATCAAGAGACCTTTGTTTTCTATAATCAGTTAAGTGGTGGTAGATTCTAAATTTTGTTGTGAGAGTTGACTTAGTAGTTTTATTCGTATGGTGAAAATAGCCGTGGTCGCTTCAATTCCTTTTCCATGATTGTGTCCTGAGTGTTTCAATCGGTGAGGCTTCATCTTGGTGCAAAGTGTGTTCTGGCTTCTATCTAGGAATAAGTGGGCACTGAGAGCGTCACACCCGTACCTGAAAGTTGTGTGCATCGAGTTAAGGTTCATCATGTCGCAGTTACGAAGTCGTGGGGTCTTGGACGTTATCGTTTGGCTAGCGTGAGAAACAACGATAAGTCATGGTGTCTTGAATATGGAGGTGGATATTGCAGCAACGACAATTCCCAACCATTGGTCTCTACTAAGTTTTAAAACCTTCTAAGCCAATTTGTTTATATTTCATGGGGAACTAGTAGTTTCTCTTCTAGTTGTAATTTCGGTTGGTATTTTTGTCTTTGTCTTTTTAAGCTGTTCTGGTGTGGGTTTAGTGACCCCTTTCATGTGGGCTCCTGTTATGGGGATTATTTTTTCATCTGCCACCTTAGGTTGTAAGTCGCTCTAGTGTGGGTTTGAATACTTGTCTTCATGTATACTTTTGTAGCTATAGTAATAAACTTGGGTTATCTGTCCTCTTAGGCTATCCACCTCATTTTTTATATAGGGGGCTTTCCCACCACGTGTCAATTCACTAAACCATTCCGAATTGATTTTGGTTTACCTCATGATTCTATCGTAGTGGGCTATTTATATAATTTTGAGCTATTATTATAACTTATGATGGACCTTTGAAAACTCATGAGAAGTCCATCATATTTTTAGGTTTCTTCCAATGTTTTGAAATCCGACCCAAACACTAAACCAGACGACTTCTCGGGTCACCGGGTCAGCGCGTCAACCGCGGGTTAACTAATTAATTAATTCTATTATATAATAATATTTATTGTTTTCATTTGACATATAAAACCTTAAAAATAGTTTAGGCTAGAATTTTTTTTGTACCTTGAAAAAACTTATGACATCTAACAAATAATCTCCCTATATATTAAAAGAGAAGTCACTTTAATGAATTTTTCTTACGTGTCATTCATAGGTGCAATGTAGAATTAATTCTCTTAATTTGATTGGTTGTCGGCATTTGAATTTTTATTTATTTAATTAAAGTTTTTAAAAGGAAAATAATATTAGAATTACCAAATATATATTACCAAACAAACAATTAACCATCTTAAATACATAGGATTAATAGAATTTGTTTATAGAAACAATTAAATATCACATATTCCATTATAAAAATTTAGAATATACATATGAATACATATTATATTATAGAAATAAGTATATAAACGATTTTAAATTTTTTTCTATTAATAGTGGATAAAAAATCATACATTACAGAAAACTAATAATATTTTTATACTCACTCACTATATATATATATATTCTTAAAATATGTTCAATGAATGCAAAACAGTCAAATGTAAAATTTTAAAAAAATTCTATCATTTTCTAGAGATAAATGTTGATAGTATAGTTGAGTTATCACTTTCAAATATTATTTAAGTACTTTTATATTTAAAACTGAAAATTATATGGTATGTCATTTTAAAAATATGAATAAATGAAAAAGTTTATTATAATATAAAATTAAAAAAAATCAAAACATTATATTAATACAAGACTAGAGTTAATATTCTATTCATATAATTCATATAGCTTTAAGTATAATAAAATTGGCATGTTTATTTTTAATTAGAAAAAAAGAAAAAAGACATAAATAAAAACATGAGTGAATAATAATAAAATCTTTTGTTGTATTCTTCGTTATTTTATATTTGTACATACATAATTTTTTATTTGTATACCAATATATTTGTACGTATTAATATAATTGTAAAATACTTATTTTTAGGTGTTTATACAACATAAATAAAAATTGAGCAAGAAGATAAGTTATAAAAATTTTAATGTTGAAGATGCAAAATATAACGCAATTAAATTTAAAATAAATTATTTTAAAATAATTATTAGTATTTTTTCGGTGTAATAAACTTTTAAAATATATGATAACAAAGTTATAACAAAATTTATACAACTAGAAACATGTTAATTTGATATATTAAAACTGTTGAATCTCAGGTTTATATTATTCTATGTCTAAAATAATGACATCACATCATTTAAGAATTAAGATATTTTATGTTATATAATTATTTAATCAAATTTACTTTTTTGAAATACAGTTATTTAGATTTACTTAAAATATGTATGTAATGAAGTAATTAAAAAAAAAAGAATCAATGTTTGATAAGATAGTGTGAAGATTGGAGAGAATTTGATAATGCATTTATTTGGTTAGCCAATTGTAATTTTATATTAAATTCTAAATAAAAAATATGTAAGAAAGCGAGAAAGAGAGGGAGATATGGTGATGATAAGGATTCGAGAGTCGGTTATGATCATAATGAAGATGAAAGTGAATATAAGTGAGAGATTAAATATAAGTGAGATAGAATCTGAAATCATTTATTAATACTATGTGAAAGTGTTTTGAAGATTTAACAAAATCTGGTGAAATTTTGCAACTAAAGAGACATAGAAAGAGTTTTAAAGTGAAATATTGAGGATCATATTAAGGACGAAGGTAAGAGAATGAATATAGGTGATTGTGAGAGAGTGAATGTAAGTTTGAGAGATTTTGAGATTATTTGATCAACTAAGAGAGAGAGAAAGAAAAAGAGAGCGAGGGAGGTGTACAAAGACATACAAAAATAATGCAAAGAGAGATACATAAGAAACAAAACGAATGTGTGAAAAAATACAAAGAGAAACGAAATGAGTTAGATAGAAAAACATATTAAAAAACAGAGTATCTATGTAAAAAAGAAAGAAAGTTACAATATATTTATACATTTATATTATATTTTATTCATGCAATGTATAGATTATATTAATGTCCGCACAGGCGTGCGGGCCGTCCACCTAGTCTATATTATAATAGTTCACTTCTAAGGCTTTAAAACTGTCCACGTCAACAAGTTTGTGGGCCCCGCGTGTTTAAATTTTAAAAGATTATAGTTTTTTTTTAAAATGACTATGAACAATGATTATTATCATATGAGCTTTTTAGTTTTAATGTTTTTTTCCTCTGGACTTATTGTTTAAAGCCCAAAATAGTGGAAAAATCATAAAATTTGACGAACTCAAACCAAAAAACAATTAAAACTGGATCAAAAAACGATCAGCCAAAAAAAAAAAAAAACGAGTCTCACGCGGCACTATCATGTCGTAATATATATTTTTACTGTTAGAACATATTTCCTAATATATATTTTCAAAAAATTATGTATGTGAAATAAAATAAAAAATAGTTTTGTTATTTATAAAATAACTATGTAATTTCTCTTCAATTTTTAATAGTTACTATAATTTCATTTTTATCAGACTCCGGCGGATGGATTTCCACAGTCGATGACGCTGTAAATAAAAATACCACATTATTCATGAACAAAATCCAAACTTACAAAAAAACATATCCAAACCTATCTGTTGAAACCCAAACAACAAATATTAGCTTAAATTAAAGTTATTTTGAAATTGATAAATCGTTTAGTACAAACATAAATACTATAAATAAATATTTATATCAAGTTTTGACATCCGATATAAAAACTATTTCCAACATAAAATAAATAATATAGACATCTATTTTTATACACTAAAAACTATATTATAATTTAGTTATTCCTATAAACCTTATTTCGCATATAAATAACATTTAACACATTATATATACAATATTTTCACTTTGCACTCTTGCTACATTCTTTCCATTTCATCATTATTTGGTATTATTAGAATAACCCAGTAAACCAACAACCGAAAAAACGCAGATGCCGGCCCCGCGCTTGCGCGGGGGTTATGCAGCTAGTATCAAGAATAATAAACTTAAACATCCTAGAACTTAGAAATTATAACAGGTAAAAAGGTAGATTAAAGATAAAGCAAAATAATCAAAAACCAAAAACACAAAAAGGAATACAAAGTAGACAGAGGAAAGAAAAAGGAAGACGTCGAAAAATAAAACTGAAAACCTAACTCCTTTATATAATACACAACATATTTTAAAAATATAATTATAAATTTATAAGGTTTAGAAAAAAAGTAAACATCATTTATTGGTTCAACCGGTAGTTCAACCGGTATCGGTTTTTCGGTTTTACTGGGTTTTTACGAGTTTTTGCAGATTTTTAAAATTTTTGCAGTGTTTTAAAACCCGATCGGTACCCGTGGTTGAACCGCCAATTCCTGTGACCCAGAAAAAAATCCGGTTTGGGTTTCTATGAAAAACCCAAAATTTAAAAATCCGCAAAAACCCGTAAAACCCAGTAAAACCTGAAACCCGATACTAGTTGAACCACCGCCGGTTGAACCAATAAATGACTTTTACTTTTTTTTGATGGTTCTTCTTCTTCTAAACATCAGTCTTTAACCACAGCAATGACATTTGATGACAATGAATGCCAACCCCTGACAAACATTACAGGACATGTACGTGCTACCCACTGGTACGGCCCTGGATAGGACTGTCTCTCCCTGGATCACTTGAAGGGGGCGTGGGTGGATGATAGATGCTTAATATGGTCTCTTCCTCAGAGCTATGTGATGCTATAAAGATGGTTTTCTGCTCCACTGACACAGGATCACCCTGCTTAGTGTCTAGAATGGATCACAAAGGTAATCCTTGCAAACAGAGAATTAAATACTCGATCTGTATCAAGGCTTGTGGATTGATGTGGGACACAAGAGAGATGGTTCGCCTCCTGATACTCCAAGGCTTCTGATGTGGATATGACACACCAAATCAGAGAACCCAAGCTGGATATTACACACCAGCAGAATTGAGAGAAAACTCAAAACAAAGAAGATGAAAAATATGTCGATTGATTGCTGCAGTGTTCTGCGTACAAAGTAAATAAAAGAAAACGCCAAATACCCTAATCCTTAACCAATTTGGTTTACTCTAATTCTAATCCTAATTGGGTTTGGTTTACCCTAGTTTAATCCAAAACGAATCTGCCCTTGGTACAAATTAAAAACATTACAATTCCTTAAACAATCAGAGATTAAACCAATGGTTTAATTCCTTTTCCTAACTGGTTAACTCCTCCTCTCTTTCCACGCCAAAAGCTAAGTGTAGAAGAGCATGCCTCTGTGTTTGGCCATTGATATTG